AGAAGAAAGAATATAAGAAATCTGCAAGCGGTCTCTTTGCTTGCAGATTTCTTATATTCTTTCTTCTACCCTGAAGATGGAGGCGATACGTTCCTCCGAAACGTCGTTTAACACCACATATACATGGTGCCAAATCGCAGAAGACTGCTTTCTTCTCAGACTTGATGATGTTTTGTGTTTTGCAGACCACCATTCCGGGGCAAAGACCACATGCAGACTTATAATCTAATCCTCAAAGGCATTGAGGCAGTGCATTTTCCAAAGCATGTGACAAAGGGAGCACAGAATTTAGTGCGCAGATTATGTCGTGCTGTTGCCACTGAGAGGCTTGGATATCAGAAAGCTGGAGTTCAGGATATCAAAAATCACAGGTATGTAGGGAATATCTGGATTAGAATGTAGACAGAGGTAGATGTTATTTATAATACTTAGTTCATAGTGTTTATTTTAACAAACCTGTTTTCATAACTTTAAATACATCATAATGGTCATTCCCAGTAATGATGCCTGTAAGAATAAATTCAAAAACCTGCATAGTAATGATTTCCTCTATAATCTGCATTTATCATTCTGCCAGTTCTTCTAATCTAGAGTGTCTACTTAATTCAAAACTGAAGCATCTACCTAGTTTTGAACTGAAGCAGATCTGACCCTAATCTTGAGCATGTATATGTTTTTGAACTGGAGCATCCACCTAGTTTTGATCTGGAGTGTCTACAAATTTAGTGTGAAAGATTATTCATTAATTAAAAATTACAAATATGGTAACAGTATGCATTTTTCAGGTTATGACCAGAAAATTTAATTTACTAGTCTGAGTCTGCACTAGTTGATACCATACACAGAAATGTATAGCTGAATTGTATGAGTGTAATTGTTAAAATATAATTCCTGCTGAACTCCTTATTTGAATAGAAGGAGAGGAGTGGTATTTCTATGCCTTTGCATCTGTTCATCCATGTGTCTGCAATATGTCTATAAATGTGTTCATTATAGGTGGTTCCAAGGTTTTAACTGGGAAGCACTCCGGAACCGGAAAATACTGGCCCCTGTCATCCGACCTGTAAGTAAATATTATCTATTTAATCAGGCTATTTTATGCACAGCAGAACTGAGATGTTTCATGTACGGCTACAATTAATTATCACAATATTACGGGTTTCCACACTTTACAAACCCTACAACAAAATCTCTTAACACTGTCTTCAAGAGTCTTCACGTATTAATAACGCGGGAGCTATACAAGTCTCCCTGAATTACACACTCCAGTTATAACTGGTTATCACTGGTTATCGCACACGCGTCTGTAGCTCGTAACTTGCGAACTGAGAACTCATTGGTAACGCACTGACGACTGTCACATTACAACTCGACTCAGCGACGGTTACGTTCCAACTCGGCGGCTGTCACAGTACAACTCTGCCGTAGCCACATAACAACTAACTTGTAGCTGCTGTGCAGTTCCCTTATATAGCCGCAGTGGTGCCTGTTGCCACGTCACAGTAGGAAGCGGTGACGCGTCACCATGGAGGGGAGTGGCGGGGTGGGAACTCGCCTATTACCATAGTAACGCGAGCGCTGCGTTACCGTCACGTGCCGCTGGGGAGGTAGGGGTGATCCATAGCTCAACATGTCACAATATTTTGCCAATCAGTAACAACAAAGAACTACCTTATACCAACATGAAGCTCTTTGTTTTGTCTACAAGCAGATATCTGTTTCTGACACAAGTAGTGTACCATGCAGAGAGGAACAACAAACAGAACTGAAAGTAGTTGGAATTTTTATTCATTATGAATTTATATGCTGTATATTAATAAAACAAACGATAATGCTTGAAATAGTCATACACAGCATGTCTAGGTCTGTTACGACTGCATTCATTAAAAATACAAGACGTGAATTATTTTCAAAATTTCACTCTTTTTATACAAAATAGTCTCCTTCTGAATCAATACATAGCTGGAATTGATTGAAAAGTTTTCGAAAACAGTCACTCTACTCCTTTTGTGGAATCACATTTAAAACTGCGGTACATTCCCTTTGCATGTCCTGGATGGTGTCGCGACGGTCTCCTTTCATCGCCAACTTAACTTTTGGGAACAACCAGAAATCTGATGGAGACAAATCTGGCGAATACGGAGAATGATCAAGGACTGTGATCTCTTTTCTGGCCAAAAAATCGTGCACGATTTTCGATTTGTGGGGTGGGGCATTGTCATGGAAGGGCATCCAGGAACCTTGCTCTCAATATTGAGGATTCCGAGATAATAATCAGAATTCACTGTTTGACCTTCTGGCAGAAATTCCTTATGCCTGATTCCTTTGGAATCAAAGAAAACGGTTAGCAGTGTCTTTGCTTGACTCTTTTGCATGCATACTTTCTTTGGTTTCGGCTTGTTTGGACTCAACCACGTTGCACTCTGCCACTTTGTGAGAGGCTCATATTGAAAACACAATGTCTCGTCACCAGTAACAATCGATTTTGTAAATTTTGTATCACTTTGGGCCAACCGTAACATATTTTTGCAGTGTTCCACTCTGGCATGTTTTTCATCGCCTGACGGCACGTGTGGTACAAACCGCGCACAAACCTTCCGTTTGCCCAAATCCTCAGTCAAAATTTTATGCACAGTACTTTCTTTGTATTCCCAAAAGCTTCTCATTGAGTCTTGCAGAAACACATCTGTCTGATGCCAGGATTTCGGTCACTTTTTTTACATTTTTTTCATTGCGACTTGTTCTCGGCTTTGATGAATGTGGAGCGTCTGGTATGTCCTTCCTGCCGTCACGAAATACAGCATACCATCAAAAAATGTTCGAGCGACTCAAACAATCACTACCATACACACGTTTCATCATTTTGTACACTTCTCTGGCTGTTTTGCCTAACTTCAAACAAAATTTGATGTTGGCTCTCTGTTCAACTGCCATTTTCTGATGGGCGTCAGAACAGTACTGTTACATTCAAGATCAGAACACATGATGCAGCAATGCTTGATCTTTGAAATTATAGACAGCCACAGCTCAAACTTCAAGAATCTTAACGCCACAAGTCGCCAACAGATGGCATTGCAGGGCAAAATTAAAAAAAAAAACTAGGAGTCCTAACGGATCCTGGACAAACCGTGTATATGTGTAGATATACCAACAGCAAAGCTATGTCACTAGATTCAAAGTAAACATCAGATACATGACATCACAGATGACTAGTTTAGATGCCACATAGGTCAGTACCTCTTACTGATGTCAGCAGCATACAATTGACGAGGCATACTGAGGTTGACATTAGTGTCCATTTCTCACGTCACTGTACTAGGAGGTACGAATAATTGTGTTGGATTCGAGGTTCTCAGAGAGGTGATAATGAAGAGTTCTATCTTTTGTTATATAATGCTGTGTAGTCCAGTGAAAATCAGCCACTGTTTCAGAGGAACATATTGCCTCCATCTTGAAAGTTGAAGAATCATACAAGCAAGATGCTAGCATGAAGTGGGTAACATCAGCTGAAGATGGAGTTAATAAGTTCCTCCAAGATGTTGGCTGACTTTCAACAGAATATGCAGCATTACTCATATATTCCTGAAGATATAACTCTTTAAATAAATGTTTCTTTATAGGGTTGTAATGCCAGCTATCCATCCAAACAATATACTGTTATATCTGAAATATAACTTACAGTATTTAAAGAAAGAATATTCTCTTTTACTTCTTTTGCACGTTTTGGACAACTTTAAGAAATTTGTTATAATGTGCATTTATATTTCTTGGTTTACATGGTAGATCAGATTACATTGGTGGGAAATGAAAACAAAAGAGTAACAGAAGAAAAAAGCAATAAATTGAGATGTTATTATTATTGATACTTGATTACTTGCTCTTGTATCACCCTGACTGAATGATGGTGCCATATGAAAAGAAGTTAAGTATATCCTTTATTTTCAGTTATATTATCTTACCCATTAAAACATCAGCCTGGAAATTATAAATATAAAAGAATGTTTATGTGGTGTATTAGTATATAAATCTTGTCATCTTGAAGAACTGACTTCTTTCATTGGAAATGTGACAGAATTGTTAATTTAATTCAGAATTCAGGCTCCCTGCTTAATATATTGCCACACATGAGTGTAACTATAGACAGAATTTGGATGATTGGATTTATTGAACAGAATGTAACTACAAATCACTACGACAGTCTCACTGCGCTACTCCGAAGATCGCTGTAACCACAGCACACACAAAGGCTCCTCAGTCAGTTTGCTGTGTCTTCACTAGTCATTGCCTGGTGACAGATACCAACAATGTCCTCTGCTTCCGTGCTTATGTTCTTACCAGCTAGTGACTGTCCCACAACTAACTCATTGCCCCAACTATTGAGTCACAACTCACCTAACTCACTCTGGTTGTTAAATTGCTGCTGGCCCTTGCCAGTAAAGTGATTCTTCATTTAGAGTCCCACAGGACTCATGACCATATTTTCTGTCTGATAGCTCTGGAAGCCTTCCAGACTCTCTCTCCTTCTACCTCACTCTCATTAACTGTCTTGTTTATAACACCTCGGCATGAACCGCAAGGAAAACGCTGTTCCTCTGTTGCTGTTTGCAATTGTTACCATGCAAACATGATCGTTTGTGAAGCCATTACTCAGTAACAGCTGTTGTATATTTGCTTATCTTGCAGTTGTTGCCCAGCAGCAGGTCTACATATCACAATAAATATATATATATATATACACATACATATCACCAAATCAACGTCTTTTATAGTTGGTCAAGCTATGACTAAACGAATTGTATCTCTGCTGTTCAGTAGTGAATTAGAGAGTTGTCATTGTGATGTTCTGTTTCCAGTTGAAGAAAGAGAGTGGTTAGGCATTTCTGATAAATACTATTTTTATAGAAACATTTTGCCTACGATATTTTATCTAGATAGCAGCACCACTTAGTGGAATGTGTTGTTCTCTGAAGTTACAGTAAATGTAACTGTTTTTCCAGAGTTCAAGACGTTATTAATGTCAAACATTTCTGGCAAATTTTGTTTTTAACAATTTCCCATTTAAATTTCAACTAGCTTTATGCTAGTCACTAATAATATTATGTGTCATCAATGTGGGCTTGTGGGACAAAAGAATAATTAACAAGTTATTAAGTTAATCAAGAGATTCCTTGTTTTTAAGGAACCAGACCATATATTACTGTTTTCATGAAAGCGAATCAGTATATTCTATCCTGAACCAACTGGAACCAATTCACATACAAAACAAGAGGAAAATTATGGTTTATATACTTAAACCTTTTGCACACCACAAGCCTATTAGATTGGATTGGCACACTTGTGTTAAAATTGTGAAATTTAAATCATTTTCCCCTTGTTCATCACTCAGTACAGATTTTCTTTTAATTAAGCATGTGAAGTTTTTTAAGTTGATGTTTTGGGGAAAGAACGGGCTTTCACTTTATCTATGCCAGCGACCGTTTGAAGGTACTGTGAGGAAGTACTGTGGGTTGTTTCTGTGCAGCGGCAGCCTTGCCATTCTGCTTTTAATTTCATTGTTAATGTAATTTGATTTGTTACTGTTATTCTCAATTACTAGAATTTTTCTTTACCTTTTTTGAAAGGTATTACATTTTTATTAAATTTTAAATGGAATATATAAATTAAGGTAGAGCTAAAATATTGTGGAATCATTGGAATCTATTTGATCTTCAGATTTTGTATGGAAACATATTACAAGCAAATATTTTTGTAGTTTGGTAGTATGAATAGCACGATATAACTAGTTCCAAGTAGGTTTAATCTGTTCTTTTTACTCTTTCTTACAATTCTTAACCATTCTTAGCTTTCCTTTCCATGGTTAATGTTAGAATTTTTCCATGACAGAGTTTTTCGAGGTGTACAGATGTATGTGCATGTGGGGGTGGGTAGCCAGAAAATTTGTTTACAGATTTATGTTTAAGATTGTTCTTGCAAATTCTCCAAAGAATTCAGGACAAAACAATCATTAAGTTGTTTATATTAATATTTCATATACTTCCTTCTTTCTTTCAATCTTGATTCTTTTTAGATTTCAGAGTATTGTGGGATGATGCCTGACTTGATGCACGCATGCACACAACCTCTATCCCCTACCTTTTGGTGCCTCTGATCCTTCCATGAACTTCTAATTTGTTTCCTGTTTTACTTGGGTGAACTCTAACTGTGAGATTGTCAAAGTAACCGATTCTAGAGTAATATCTGATGAATAGTTCAGTTCATTCATTCATTCATTTTATTTTTCTTAGAGTAATCCATAACAGTGATCATCACCTAGGATATAGAAGATGTCCACATACAATAAAATAAGATACAATAATGGCCGCACAACAAGCAGCCTTGTCAGTTGGTAATACAGTAATACAAAGACATTACACCCTATTCGGTAATACAATAATACATTAATATGATACATTATGCACATACAATTGCAAAATAATATACAAATGTAAAATAAGTGTGTAAGTCAATATAAAAATGTGACCCAAACAGCAATATAAATAAAATTTTATTTCATTTATCAGACCACTCGAAGTATTCATTTTTTGAATAAAAATATTCCTGTAAAAAAAATTTCTTAGTAACCACTTTAAACTTATTAACATCATATAGCAATTTCCTTATATCCCGAGGCAAATGATTGAAAATCTTTATACCCATAAAGTAGGGACCTTTCTTGCATTTGGTCAAGTTAACTGAAGTCAAATACAAGTTAATGCTTTGTCTTGTATTTATCGTATATATCTTGCTGCTAATTACAAATTTAGATGCATTCTTTGCTACCAGCAACAGCAAGGAGTACATGTATTGGGAATAAAAAGGTAAAATATTTAAACATTTATAAAGTCCCCGACAAGATATTTTGGGGCTCACATTAAAAATAACTCTTATAATTCTCTTCTGCGTTATAAAAACGTTTTTGGTATTTTGTTCACGTGATATTGTGATGACAGTTTAGATGAAGATTGATGTGCAGGAGATGAATGGCAAATATTGTGTCATGAAGGCACTATCTTTACTGCATTTATCCTCTGCCATCTGTTCGTGAGCTTGTCCTGCTCACTCTGTGCAATCATCATATTATGGAAACTATGCATAGATTCTCAGAAACTAAAATGTTCTGGCATATGCTGTATTATTTAATGACACACTTTGTATTAGGAGAGATTGATGACTGTCATTTAGTAAGTATGCAATATGTTGCTATTGTTTTGTTTCAGATCCATGGGCCAACAGATCTCGGTAATTTTGAAAAATTTCCCAAAGAAAAATATGTTCCACCAGATGAGACCTCTGGCTGGGACAAGGACTTCTAAAAACTCTAAAATCCTTTTATTACTCATCAGTGAATTGTTGCAGATGGTGAATAATTCTAAAGTCAAATCTGTATATGTTGTTTTGACACTGGACATGTATGCATGAATGCAGAAATATTTATTTAAATCTGAACTTCATACTAGGCAGAATAAAAATGGTTTCATGACTTATTGTTAACTGATATTATAAGAAAGACCCCAAAAATTGCAGTGGTAGCACAGTAAGTTCATACTCACACTGTCGGTGGATTATAACCACTTGTCTAGCATGAATTTGTATAGCAACACTTTATTTTTAAGTTTAAATATTTTTTCAGTGTCATTTTTCATAACTTAAAATCTCAACATATAATTACAATTTTTTAATGAGTATGAACAATTCTTGTTCTTCCTCTGTCACAGTAACAGATTATTATTATTTAATTTTGTACTGTTATTTTGGCAAATCATCTGTAATAAATGCAATACCAACAGATAACGGCTTCATTTTGAGAGATATCAAAATTGTGTGATGGATAACTGACTGCAACTTTTGCGCAACTGAGAATTTATATAGGTGATATTTAGCATAAAATAACTCACATGAAGAATCTGAATGGCACTAAGAATCATAAATTCTGTCCAGAAATGCATACGTGGGCGCCAGCAAACAAGACCATGCCCCCTCTCTCACCCAGTTTTTTGAAAAAAAAAAATAAATAAATAAATAAAAGTTTGAAAAAAAAAAGGAAATACACCAAATATTAATACCACAATTTAAATTATTTAATAAAAATATACTTTTATTCAGAATACACTATAGTAGTAATTGTGTGTGATGCTTAAGTCACACGTGAGTTTAAGATGGCCGAAGCTGCTCGCTGTGAATCCCCTTATAGCGACTCTGGAGGATCAGGAGAAGCATAGCCTCATCTTTCATTGTTTAACAACTCTGATGTTCTGTAGTATGATGTCTTGGGCACCACCCAATCGGAAACATGAGACTTTCACAGGGTCATAAAGTGGGCTTTAGTTTCAACAAGGTAGATAATGAAACCAACGACAAATTCACAACACTTACACTTTATTGAATTGTCCTAAATTGACATTGTTAGTAACACTTATCTAAGGCTGTGTGTAGTCCTTTGTTTCTCTTTTGAGGAAAGACACACACATCTTAACAGGTCCAGTACCAGGCTTTGTCTATCTAGAATAAAAGGAAAAGTGTATCATGCTGCCGGCAACTAGCATGATGTCATGTATTTATTTATTTATTTTGTCTCTATAGATCATTGTTACATGATATAGGACAAGTCAGTTACTGTACATTGGCAGATTACAATAAGAGAGTAAAGTTACAATGCTTACAATTGTTTACAATAGATTACAGTAGATTACAATAGTTAGAGTTCATATAGTGTGAGGTGGTATCCATATTTGGTCCCCTCGGCACGTCGGCCTTCATATGTCCTGTACCGTGATCATGCTTATGGAGAATTTGATGGAATGAGGATTGGCAGGGGAAACTGAAGTACTTGGAGAAAACCTGCCTCAGCATCACTTTGTCCATCACAAATCCCATTTGACTAGACTGCAGCGGTGGGAAGCCAGCAACTAACTGCTTAAGCTATGGCGCGGCCTTAGAGATAACATTGGTGAATTTGATGATAGCACTGGTATAACGTTTCACTGCAGACTCTACACTGCAACATCTCACTACATCTGTTCTCCCTCCCTGGTGCAGCTTCTTGGTATCTGCAACCTCTCCAGACTAGCCCATTTAGGTACAGCTCTGACTGTGCTGTCTTTGTTGCTGGAAAAAAGAAAGGAAAACTGCGCAGTAGGGATTCCCAAACTGATTATTCATGAATTATGTGATTATAATTGAATAGTGTTTGTCTCACACGAGAGAAACTCATCCACTTTATAAAAACAATGATTGAGTAGGTAAGTTTTCAAAGCGTTTTTGAACTTATATAGTACCGGTATTTCTTTAATATATCGTGGCAGATGATTTAGCAGTCAAAGTCCTACATTGTTAAAGTTGTTCTTGCATAGACTTGTATTACATGGGATGATGTGCAAGTCGTCTTTTTTCCTTGTGTTGTATGAGTGTAATCCTGAGTTGGTTGTGAAATCATTTGAATTGGATTTTATGTATATTAGAGTTTCGTATATGTACAAAGATGGTAGGGGTAATATATGTAATGATTTGAGAATTTGTTTACAACTAGTCGTTTTTGGGACCTGGGTCATAGCTCTTATAGCTCTCTTCTGTAATTTAAAGAGCAATTTTGCATTTACCGAGTTGCCCCAAAATATCAGTCCGTATGATGATAAAGATTGGAAATGAGCATAATATAATGTGCGGACAGTCTCTAGTCCAGTCACTCTTCTAACTACCCTTAGGCCAAAACATTCTTTACATAAGTTGTTCGCTAGCTTTTGTGTATGCGTAGTCCATCTTAGATGCTTATCTAGCCAGACTCCCAGAAATTTTGAGTGATCTGTGTAGTTGATAACAGTGTCATAAATCTTTATTGGGGGGCATTCAAGGTGTAGTTTTTGAGGATGATGAAAGGCTATTGCTATTGTTTCCTCTTTATTAATAGTTAATCGATTCCTCTCAAACCATTCTGTGATTTTATTTATTGTTTCATTCGTTTTCCTTTGAATTTCATTAGCACTATTTCCTGCTATAAAAATGCTAGTATCATCAGCAAAGAACATAGGTTTCCCATGTTCTATGTTGGCCTCCAGGTCGTTTATGTATAACAGAAACAACACTGGTCCCAGAACGAACCTTGTGGGACGCCATAGCTGATGGGTCTCTTTCAGGATAGGTAATTAATGTTGCGATTAGCTTTTTTTTTTTTTTTTTTGCATCTGTATGTAATTTTTACTGCTTGTTCTCTGTTTTCTAAGTATGTTTGGAACCACCTTAGTGCAACCCCTCGTATTCCCATTCTTTCCATCTTACTTAGAAATATATCATGATCTACTAGGTCGAACGCTTTTGATAAATCCAAAAATATCCCTATACTCGTTTCTTTTTCATCTAGTGCTCTGTAAACCCTTTTTGTAAATTTTGTGATTGCTGTATGTGTTGATTTTCCTTTGCAGAATCCATGCTGTTTATTGTTGATTATGCTGTACTTATTTATGAATGATAAAAGTCTATTGTGCATAATTTTTTCGATTATTTTAGAAAAAACCGTAATTAATGTCACTGGCCTGTAGTTCCCAACATCTGCAGTACAACCTTTCTTATACAAGGGTTTCACTTTTGCTAATTTTATTTGGTAGGGGAAATAACCAGATTAAAATGACAGATTTATTAGGTATGCTAGAGCATTTAGTAGTTGAGGATGACATTTTTTAATAATGAACTCTGGAATATCATCAATGCCCATTGATTTTTTGTTACCCAGTGTTTTCATTATGTCTACCAGTAGCTAGTATCTCTGATTGGCTACACTCTGGGAAGTACTGAGCTAACCAACTTATGAAGCTTATATAATGTTTTACTGAACAATGGGAAAGCCCCTAAATTATCAGCTTCATAAGAAGTCGTGAGGCATTACATCATCTTCCACTCAATGTATAGCCCATAGCGTAATACAGCGCTTGATGATTTACGCAATCCACAATTTCTTAATTTAAGTCTTTCTAAAATAGAATAGTTATGAAAAAACTAAATGTATACATAAATTAGGCGAAGTATATTATTAAAAAGGAGTAATCGATTTAACACCATGTAAATGAGTAAAAATAGTCTTGAATGACTTAAGGTTTCTGGCAAACTTTCTGGTTGATGCCCTTGGAAAACTGGCTGTCTTACCTTGGAAAAGGTTCTGGAGGCATCCATGAGTGTTTGAAATTATAATCAAGTCTCTCTTTCCCATTTTAGTTATTTTATTGTTGCAATTTTTATTCTATCAAAGATGCAGAGTTCACCAAAATGTCAGATTCAGCTAAACCAACAAGAAGACTAAAGCTTTAGAAGTAATATGCATTAACTAGTTACTTGTAGTACAAACAAGGACAAAAGACAATTAAAAATCTGCTGCTAAAACTTGCTCTGTTCTTTATTTCTGAAAGTGTCAACAGTGACCTAATTTGAGGTACCAGCCTAGTGACTGTCAGGAGGAACTGAGCAAAAACATGATAGATGGTGTCTCGGACACGGACGGAATACAACTAGGTGATTTGTACACTGGAATCAACTTGATCGGTTCATCTGTCCAACTGAACGTAATAATGCAGGGGGTATACTCGGATTCTTTTTCGATTATTACTCTAAAAATCTGCTATATCTGACACTTAAGTTTTAGTGCGAGAGTGCCTCGTTATTCATCTCGAAGATTTCACGCGTGCAGACAGCCCAGACAGTTGGCCACCGGTTTCTCGTTTCTGTAGCCCGCGTTCGATTTCAGCCACGTCATATGGGTTTTATGATGAATATAGTGGCATGAGGGTAGGTTCTATCCGAGCACTTCGGTTTCTTTTGCCAGTTTTCATTCAGTCAACTGTTTCATATACCTTAACCATTCAACCGCCGAAGCTATATAAATAAGAAACTTAAGAAAAAGTTAAACGCGCACATCTACATCCAAGGACTCAAGGACAACGAATACTCACAAATCAGAATAATAATGAACCATTGATTTTATGTGATAATGCACGTTTTTAATTAAATGTCGCATTTACAGTACAACGATTATGTTCCTTCGAAGATGTGCCAATATTCCTAGCCCGATCTGATTATACGCCTATTGAAACCCTACATAATGAACATTGGTGGATCAGCAGATAATAGAGTGGTTTGATACTTTGTCGAGAGAGAGTGCTCACGTATTGTTGATACGTCACGTCGTATCGTAATATGGCGACAGATGAGAAATGGGATGTTTGGTTAGTTATTGGAGGAGTAAAGACAAACTTATTCGGCTAGGAGTGATAGTGACATACTTTTGAAATCAGTACAAATGCAGTGTGGTGAACTTATGTATCGCAAAGTGACCATAATGACGCAGGGAACAGATTCTGTGGACAATAAACCAAAAAAGCCCGAGAAAGAAACAATACACTCGGGTCACTTTATGGTATCAGAATTTGAGTTAGAAGCGCAAGATGATGATGACCTAGTGGCAGTGCCAGTACCTGAAGAAGAAGGAAGACCCTCTTT